TCGATGTTTTTTATTTTTCCCTACTATCGATTGTTTTTTGGTCCTATCGATAGTTCGACAGACATGTGATTCGGTATTTATTTTAGTTTTATTTCTTCTTTTCGTTTCTCTTAAACATCCAAGTTGAACTAAAAATTTGGTTGCTACTTTTTTAAAAGAGTAATGTCAAATTTCGAAAATGACGCAAAACCTTGCATCTTTTAAAATACCGCTAAAAAACTGATACAAATTAATTTATACCAAAACTTTCCATATTATCTACCATCACTATTTATTATTTATGAAAAGGTAAATAAAAACCATTACTTCTCAGATAAAAAATGGTTTCTTCTTCTAAAATTGAAATTTACTTGATGAATACCTTATATATGACGGAGGATATCTAAAACCACAAATATAAAATTTCAGTATGCCCAATTTTTTTCCGAAATATATTTTTAAGGAAATCTTCATACGAAAATTGAGCCAAAACCATATAAATACGATACTATCGACGATATATCGATAGTTTTGAAAATAATTTCGAAAACTATCGATGGTCTGACTATCGATAGTTTTGCACCTCTACCACTAAACTTTTGATAACGATAATTTCGATTATTCCACAATGAGAAAAGAGTTTAGTTACGTCAACTAAATATGTTTTTTTTTCAACACACTATTTGATTAGAGTTACTAAATAATTTATTTGGCTGACTTTATCCAAAGTGTAGTACAACTATTTAAAAAAAAAATTATTGCCAAATGCAAATAGGTGACACAGAAGAATATAAAAAGGCGACACCTAGGTTCGATAAAAAATGTTTCCGAAATTTCCTGGCAAAAATACTTTATACTGGAAGGTGCACGATAAACCATTTTGTTTGCATGTTGGGTGGTACGGTCTAATGCACATACTTATATGTATCTATATATCTTCGATAGTTAAAAAGTTTCCCGATATACATACATAATCTTTTATTTATAAAAACTCGATTTTCCACAACTCTTAGAACAACATCAAGTTGTTGAAGAAGAAGGCCCATTCGGCGTTCGAAAAGATCATAAACTAATTGAAGCAAAAAAATACTTACAACAGATTTTGCGTATTTTTATATTTAAATAATTTTATCTTCAAGCCCTGCTCTTGTCAAAAGAAACTTGCCTATACTTAAGACATCCTATTCGCTTGGGTTAAACTTCAGAAAGTGAGTTTTTTATCAGAAGCGTCTGATGATTAGATAGTTCACAAGGTGCTCGTATCATAACACAATGCCATGAAATGTAAAGCGGTTATAAAATTGTTGATGATATTATGACAATATGACTAGTTTTATCACTTTTGAATCGAATTGCTTGTATTACGAGTAAAGGTCGGATTATGCATACTTCACATAACTTCGCACAACCATTTGTACCACTACAATTTAAATATCACTTAAGAAAATGTGAAGCAAAATCTAAACTCAGCAGTTCGCTAAGTTGTGATAAGTTCTGCTGATTTCTGGGTAATGGGGTACATACAAAATACATACAAAATTACATACAAAATTACAGTTTGAAATTTATGCGAAGTTATGCGAAGTATGCATAATCAGACCATAAGTGGGAATCTATTACTTGCTGCCCCTGACATCCATGGTGGCTATGGAATCTTTAAAAAACGGCACATTCATACTTAACTATAGGCCAGGTCGGTCCCCATGCAGCAGAAAATGATTGAAGCAGGTTTGAAAGTTTACTTCTTGGAGATTTTGACATCATAAAAGTTTCCGCCCTAGTCCCGCGGTAAAAAAAA